CCGGCCCCGGGGCCCGCCTCGGGAGCGCGGGCAGTTCGCCCTGCGGCCCCCTCAGGGCGGCGGCGGCGACCCCGCTCTTCAGGGCGGTTGTGCCTGTCACGGGCTGCCCGACTGCTCCCTCCCGCCACGCGCCCCCGGCTCCCCAAGCGCAGAAGGACTCGCACCAGGAGCCATTAGCAGCCGCGTTTTGACCAAGGAGGGGCCCCTTTCCCCCCGCAGCCTTGCCCGGGAGCTGCCCTCCCACCAAACGACCGTCCGGCCCGCGTGGAGCCGGCTGCGCTGCTGCTCCCCGCCTGGGCTGTCAGTGTTTGTTGTCTCGGGGCCTGAAGGCCGAGGCCAGGCAGGAGCCTGGAGAGCTCTGCAGGAGCCCTGCAGTTAGTTGCTGTTATGTCTTGGCGCTGGCAGCCCTGTTCCCCATCAAACTGCTTTATTTGTTACGGTTTTCCAAGGGGGTTCTTCTCCCCCGAATATAAGACATTATTTCCTGCTTGCCTGAAGTTGGCCTGACTCGTTAACCTGCAAACAATAGTACTCCCCTTAATATATTTGTTACAGTCAATGAATTTCAAAAGCCCCGCCTTGTCATCTTTTTAGATTCCGCTTTGTTACGTATTTTCCATCTTTCAGAGAGGCTTGTATAAACACCTGGTAAAGAATGGTGTCCCTTTAAAAAGGTAGAGCAAAATTGGCTTTAATGATCACACCTGAAGGGAAGAGAGTGAGTGAGAGAGCAAACATGCAGGCAGAACTGATAAAAGGCTGCAATGAGCCCTTGCTTGTGTTGGTAAGGGGGTGCTAAGCTCTCTGGGCTCAGAGCAAGGCCTAGGAGATGCTGGGTGAAGGTAGAAATGGAGCCTTTGCAGTGTGAGTGGAGGGTCCCAAAGGTGTCTCTCGCAGAGATTCTGAGGTGCTTTGAACATCCTGTAAGTGAGGAACAAGCCTGGGCTATTTGCTTTCAGTGCTGCTCTAAAATGGAGCAGTTGGCTCAGGGGCTGCACCCGTTGCTCCATGCTGTTGTCATAAAAGGTCCTGGGAGCGTCTTTATCCATGCTGATGGCACTGCTTCCTTCAAGGTGTATCAAAAGTCTGGTAAGAACATGGACAGCTGTAAATGCTAGGGGTTGTTCCCATAACTAGCTCTTCACTAGCTAAAATAGGGGGACATGCGGCTGTTCTCCTCCCTGTACCCTGTTTAAAAGGACTTTAGGTGAGTGGTAATGTGTATGTGCAGCCTACTAATTTTTCCAGTGCTCCTCCTGTGAATCGTGGTTCTAGGGAATAGCTGAGATGAGAGTCTATTACCACTTATGTTATTTGAAATAAATAATCTGAGGCTTTATAAGTCCTGTGCTGCTCATCTTCTAAGGTATGGTTCCTTTCCTGTAGTGACTTTCACAATAAATATATGATTGACAGAGACCCTTTTTGTGACCGTGTGAAGCTAGCAAGCAGCAACAAGCTGCTTCTCTTATGTGTTCCCACTGCTGCAAAGCTCAGTGTGAAGCTGACTCCTTGAGAGAAACTTCAGGGGCAAGAGTGGGTATTAAGGAATGAAGACAAGGAAGACCCATCCTCTTTCTTGAGGTTGGATATCTACTAGCAAATACAAAGAAGTATCCAGCAGCAGTTAGTTAGCAGTTTGTGCTAATGCTCCCAGTAAATAGAAAGTGCATCTTGTGCTGCTCTGCAGGAGTCCCCAAGTGCAGGTCTAGGTTCCCCAGCTGGGACTGATCTGAGTCAGAGGGATTTGTTTCCTCATTACCAAGAATTCTCCCAGATATTCTAAAAGCTGTTTATCAGTCCCTATGCAATTATCTTTTTAGCCCTCCTCTCCTCTTTCCCTTTCAGATGTTGGCAACGCTCAGGAGTTAGAGCACAAGGTAAGCCCATGTCTTCAGCTTCATACATGTGCCAATATAATCCTGCTTGTCTCCTGCTGTGGTAGAAAGCCATCTCAGGAGACAGTTTTCTAGGTGTTGAAAATTATCACAGTGCTTATATTTCTTGCGAAATATTTCTCGGGTGAGTAGAGGCCTGTGGAAGTGACTCTGTCCCCTGCAATGTGGAAAAGGAGATAAAACTCTGAAACCAAACTCAGCTAAGACCATGGGACTGGGAAATGGTGTGCACAGAAGATACTGCTGACTATGGGTTAGCCCACCCGCTTTGTCTTAAAAACAGATCATCACTTAAAGGTGCTAGATAGGACCGTTTAACACCTAAAAACAGCTTTATTTGGGGAGTATTTCCAGCTAGCTGATGGGCACCTAGCTGCCTTTTGAGCTCCTCTCATCCTGAGAGAGGTGCTCAGTCACGAGGGGCACATGTGGCTGGTGGGCACATGTGAAGGGGCACATGTGGCTGGGAAGCGAGAGCTCTGATGTTCTCCACAGCACTGTGCTGCACTGCTCTGAGACTGCGTCCTTGGCCTGTGTCCGCAGCTGCTGGAGTACTTGGGAGTGGTGATCTATGAAGCTCTGGACTGGGGAATTGACAGCCAAGCAGAGCGAGAACTGAGCGAGCCCTTGGAGAAACTGCTCTCCCTCATGCTGAAACTGGACGATGAGGCGATGAAACTGGCACTCACCCTGCAGGATGTTATCAAGGTTTCCTTCCTCCCACTTAGTAAACGCAGCAGCTTTAGAAGAGTTGATGGAGCAATGCTGTTAATGAGCGGGCCCAACAATTTTCAGGGAAAAGCTGGGTAGTTTAGAAGACATATAGGGCAACATGTGGCTTTCCTATCAGATGGGAAAGGAAAATCACCTTAAGTGCACTGAAGTTTCTATGGCAAAAAGTTAAAGAAGACTGAGCATGGCTCTCATGCAGCTGTGTCTACAGAGTTCTTCTGTACATAGCCTTCTGTAGCTGTACTTTTGGGGTGTGGACAGAGCAACTCTCATTAAGCCCTAGTTTTGAAAACGACTTGTCATAGCCCCAGTCCTATACTGAGTCTTGTGTCTAGACTACAAGATCACCTACAGGACAAGATATATGTAACTGCTTATAGGCAGCATAACCACCAGAACACTTGTCTCATAGGTATGAAATCCTACCTTTGGAGGCTATAGGTAATTAAAAAAAGTTGCTTCTCCACAATATTCAGTTTCTGAAAGACCAGGGAGTTGAATGTCACAATTCAAACTAGTAGTTTGCTCTCACGTGTAATTTCAAAGTACCATAAACTCCCCATGCCCCAGTCTCACCAGCACGGAGAGTGAGGGTGGGGGAAAGACCAGGACAAGTGTCTCCCCTTGCTATGTTTTGTCATGCCTTGTCTAGTGGAAGCTTACCCTTCCAGGTACTTATTTAAAAGCAGACCTTATGGAGAACAAGATGTATAAATTACACAGCAACTTACGTTACTGTACATACAGGATCGGGCATCTTTCCTTGTTCCTCTCCATCTGCAAAAGAACAAAAAAAGAGGCAAAAGGCACGAGGAAGATGATTTTTTTTTTTTAACCACAGATTGATGAAATTGAATCTTGCTTTCTTCCAGCCTACAACATTTTTCATTTCAAGGAGATCGTGTGCTCTCAAATAGCTGTTCTCCTTTCAGATTTGTGAGGAGCACCTGTCCAGGCCTTCTGAGGCTGCCAGCCATTACAAGATGACCTGCAGGAGTCTTTTTGCTGAATATATGGAACTTCAGAAGCTTGTGTCCATCATCCAGATTTCCAAAGAGGTATTTTGATCAACACTTAGCTGCTATCCCTTCTGCCTCCACATGTTCACCTAGTTCTACAGAAATCTTCCCTTTGCACTAGAAATGTAATATGTAGCTGAAGGTCTATTTCCATTATGTGAAAGGTTTCTGTCTGCACCAGATTAATTTATTATAGCTTTTGAATGTTTGGAGGCGGATTTGGCTTCTCGACTTTTCAGGTTAGCATTGATAACTCGGACTGGGTAGATAGGAAAGTGCTGGACAAGCACAAGGTAATGACGACCTTGTGTGCTCACTTCTTAGAGTCTGAGAAAAATGGACATGGAAGACTTGCGGGAAAATCCCCTTCAGAAGAAGGAAAAATACTGGGTAAGGGATTTAATTCTTTCATTGTGGAGGGGTGTGGGGTTTTTTGTCTTCCCTGGCTCTCTGAGGCTTTCCAGTGACTCCTCTATGAAAAACAGAGCTTAAGCACACACAAACAAAACCACTTAGGTTGTTCAAGAGCTTAAGTAGTTAAAGACTTGTCTGTAAAACAAGCTGGGGAGTGAACTTGAAGTTAACTACTGCTAAATGTGTTTACCTCATGTGGACACTTATTCTGCACAAAGACACTCTTTGTGGTTCAACTGAAACCACTTCTAAAAGTGAAATTGGAGGCATTCTTTGTGGAGTAAGTGTCCACAAGTAGTTATTCATGCTGTTTCCTCCGCTAAAGGAGCCCCAAACTCTTGGCAGGAATTGATACCTGCTAAAAGCAGTCTGCTCCTTTGTGCAGTTTAACTGGCATCTCCTGGAAAACTGTTCTATTGGTGGTAGCACTGAGGTGGACTAGTCCATGCCTATCATGTGGGCTCCAGGCTGGTTCAGGGCTGGAGGAGGCTAAAGACGAATAGATCTTTGGCTGTGCAGCTCCAGCAGTCCGAACAAAGGGGTGAAGGACGAGGAGGCTCCCACCTTCTGCTCGCTGCCATTTCTTGTCCATCCCTTCTGTCCTCCTTGGACAGTTCTTGGACTGTGTGTTTGGGGCAGAGAAAGCGACTTCTTCTATTCTCTCTGTAGCCTTGCACAATCAGGGCTCCATCAGAAACAAATAGCTCTTCTGGCTGGAGCTCTGCCCAGCATAAACAAATGCACTGTAGTCTGGAGTCTGTGGAGACAAACGGCAAGCCCCGAGAGACTTGTGGACTTGCTCCCTTTGTCTAAATAGCACTCGCTTTGAAGCGTGCTCAAACTATTTGTATGAAAATGTTTGTGAAATGTGTGTTTGGGCATATTCTCAATTTTGTGATCTATTAAAATAAACTGGCAAGCTGTCTCAAACCACAAACTCATCAACTGCTCTAGCTCTTTTCTGCAGGGAATAAATGAATAAATACATGGGCTTTGCTGTGTGGCCCGAAGGCCAGTGTATTTGGCCTCTGCTTCTTTGGGAGACATGAATTCCAAAGGCAGGATGTCTGTTGCAAATCCTCTGCTAGTTTCCAAGTCCCTAAGCACCGGTTGATTGCATTGTTCTGACAAACTCTTGAGTTTAAAATAACCAGGATGCCAACTTCACTGGGATCCCACAGACTAGGGCTGATGCCTTGAGCAGTGCCAAGCAGCTAGTGCTGTCTGTGGACCACTTTTTCCTATTGACTGCTATGAAACAGGCCTTCTGAAGCACAGGCCACAGCCTGGTATTGGGCAGAGTTGTATCATCTCAGTAGAGTTTACCCATATGTGTTGCAAGGCAATCTTCACCTTGAAGTCGAAGCACTGAGCCCTCTTAGGAGCACAGCTGTCTTACCACCCATCTGTTGAACCGCATGCAATGAGCATGGAGCGTTGTACAGGAAGCAGATGATATTCCCTCTCTGTTCTTCTGTGCTTGAGTAGCATTTTGTGTGGTATCCCACAGGTGCGGGAAGTTTACACTGAGTTTGGTAGTACATGGGATGGCCCAAGTAGAGTAACTGCAGTGAGTCAGTCAGGAGAGAAAGAAAAGTGTGAGTGAAAATGACATCTCCTGTGCCTGAGAGATTGTTTAGGTGCACAGATGGCTCTGAAATGGCCAGCTGAAGGCCATTCTTGTCCTTAAAATAACGTAGCAGCATTACAGTACAGAAGTCTCTCTTCAGGTGGTATCTTTCAGAATAATTTTGTCATCATGTGAAATAAAACTTTAGGAAGTGCAGATGGCTCAGGATAAGCTATTTCAATAGCCATTTGCTCCAAGGCCTCTAGTATTGATTAATTTGTTCAGCTCTTTCTTCAGTTAGACTTCAATTAAGGGATGTTTGTGTTCTCCTACAGAATAAATACGATAGTCCAGGAGATACGGCTAGTATATGGCCACTTGTCTGGCTGTTCTAGTTTTCTGGAGTTCAGATGCAACTGCCTCCAAGCTAGTCTAAAACAACCCAGCTAAACATCAGTTGGAGCTTGCCTAAGGCTTTTCTGACATTATACGGAGGTATCTGAAAGGGTAAGTGGAAAGATGATGCTCCATACTGTAAGTTGAAAGGGGAGTGGAGTCCAAGTCAGAAGTTTAGTTCTGAATCGGTTTTCAATTAAGTTTTGCTTCCCTTTCACTGTTTATAATACAATCACTTCTTACTCAGTTTGCCTTCAGGATCCACATAAGCTGTTAACTTAGCACTTCCATTACAATGTTGTCTAAACATGCTGATGAGTTGATTTCCCCTCCCCTCCCATCTGTAACTCTGGATGGGTTTCTGGCATGCCTGAGCATCCTGTGGAAACAGGTATTAATAGAGGAGCAGGATATGAACAGATGTCAGAGTCGTCAGCTTGCGTCTCCAGGCTGAAACTGCTAACGTAGGCTGCTGGGAAGGTCAAAGCATGAGATCCTTTCCCTTTGCTGCCTTCTTTCCTCTGTGGGCCCTTCATCCCTTGGTTTCTGAAAGTTTGGGGGATTTTAGCAGTAAGACTTGGGATTTCATTCCCAGTGTTTCCTGGGATACAATAACCTGAAAAACTCTGGCACCTTGCAGGAACTTACTCAAGTATTTATTCAAGAAAATGGATAGGTCTAGCTACCTGGTAACAGAAGCTGTATTTTGCTGAAGGACGTTCATCAAGTTAATGACAAAGCTCAGGAATGAACCTGAGGAACCAGCTCCCAGATCCCTCACTGTAAATTGACAAAGAGAAGCAATTCTATGTTCTGGTACCGTGCCTTTCCATCTAACCTGTAAATGAGCTGAAGGGGTGCTAAGCATGCACTTCTGTATCTCTGAATGACGTCAGTTGCTAAATCTGCCCTATTAAATGGAGGGAGGGAATACCGTTCCATGCAGTCCAGCCAGATGTTTACTCAGCCCTCACTGGCTTCTCATAGGCAACCCTGTGGCCTGATGTTATCCGTGAACTGCAGAACGGTGTGAAGCTGCGCAAGACCACTGAGCGACCTCAGCATCGTGCTCCCCCGAAAGAATATTCCCGCTCCCCCTATGAATTGCTGGTGGATGATATTCAACACAAGCGGTACACCCTTCGGAAGGTGAGTGACTAGTCAATGGACAACTTTGAAACCACTTGCTCTAACTATCTGGTTTCTAAACGTTGTCTGTTGAGACTTCTTTCCCAAAAGCCTGCCTTACAACTCTTCCTCAAAGGTACTTACAAGTCCAGAAGTGCCTGGGGCTCCCTCTCAGCTACAGCTTAGCATTAGATCACAATGTTTGTCCACCCAAGCACTTCATTTCCAGTAACTGTAATTCAGAGGTAGCCAAACTTTTATGAAGCTGGATGCTAAACTTCATCCCCCTCCAGGGGTCAGCCATTCCTTTCCTTGGTGCAGTTAAGCTGCCTTGCACAAAACAGCTCCATGAAACAGACCCTTGCCAGCTTAGGCTTTCTCCCTCGGATGCCGTCTTCACAGGCTCCTCGAGCTGTGCCGTGTCTGGCATATCTTGCTAGCTTCCCTGCTTTCCCAGCTGATGTGGGATGTGTGCAAGTGTAAAAGCACTTTTCAGTGAGCGCTCTGCTCTGCCTCAGGCAGAGGCTACTGCAAGAGTTCAGGCAGGGTAAGAAAAGCTGACTGTCTTCTGGGGCAGCTGTTGTGCTGACTTAAGTGGTAGGGGCTTCCAATACTGCTGGTTGGTGAATATGCCCACATACAGAGATGACTGAGCTTAGCTAAAGGTTTGCAATTGTTCACTCGCTGTAGCTTGAGCTGGGAATGATGAGCAGATCTAAAAACATTGGCATGAGGCTTTGTGGCATTGGAGTGCTTTGCAAACAGACTTCTTGGCAGAAGATAAGAGACAACTCTACTTATAATAAAGAGCTGTATTTTAAAAAATGAAAACTTTGCATACCGTGCTAGACATCAGCTTTTATTCTGCCTGCTTTTGGTGCTCCTAGAGTGCAGGGGATAAACAGCTTCAGCTGAGCCATGCGCCCCTATAAAACCCCAGCTCTCGCTCTTCCTGACTGGCTCCAGTCTTCAGGTAAGACTGCGACATTTCTCTGGAGATCGGTATCTTGTTCAACATATAAGTGAACAGTAGTGGAAAGGAGACAGTACATCAGAACTAGTTGTGCGCTTTGAAAGGTACAACAGTCTGAATGCACTGTGCAGTACAGAACTGTAACTCAAGGTGGCAGGATGAACTCATGGCTCTTGATTGTTCTGCTATGGTCAGCAAGAAGCTGCAAGTCCCAAGAGCTATAGTCAGAAATATTAGAAGAAAGCATGGAGCGCTACTGATCAGGTCCCTGTATGCGAAGGCAACAAGAAACAAGGATTTCTCCATCTGCAAAGCTATTTTAAAGCTTCTGGTAAACGGTGGTCTAATTTGCAAATGAATGAAAGCATGCCAGAAGCTGTAGTCTTGTTCTACCTGCCCTTGCATGTGTTCTCAAGTTGTACACACAAGAGAAGCAAGCAGCACAGTCTCAAAGTAAGAACAAGTGATCAAGGCAGCTAAGCCCATGCATGTACAACTGCCTTTTTTTGTCAGTGCTTCCCTCTGCAGCAAGTGCAGGTCTTGATGAGCAAGACAGTCTACTTCCTGCCCTGCAATCCTATCCTGCTACTGTTTCTAGCTTATGCAGGGCCATAGGCCAGACTCTGGCTCTCTAGGTTATGCTTACAGCTGCCTGCTGCTACAGTTCTTGTTAACCCATTCAGCAACTCTCCTCCCTGGAACTGAGTACTCATTAATAAATGTGATGTGACCATGATGCTTGTCAAGATCACTCCTGGCATTAAAATCTCAAAGTACAGTATTTTGCAGCAGCTTCTCAGATCTCTTAAGGAGCTGCTGGGGCTGGAAAGTTTGAATGTTTCCTGTGCAAGCCCCAAATGGCTCTCCAGTACTTCTGATTGCCTCTAGTTTGTCGCAAGCAAAGCGGTCTCTACTAAAAAAAAAACAAAAAAACAAAAAACAAACAAAAAAAAACAAAAAAAAACCTTGCAAGCAAACCTCATTTTTTCTGTGCTTCCCTACTTAGTCTTGTTATGTCTTTTCTACCTCCCACATTCCCAAATTCTGACTTGTCATTCATTGTGCCACTGAATGGGAGGGTGAATGAGGAGTGCAGAAAGAACTTAAGCATCATTTCTGTTCTTTCAGGTGATCATCGAGCAAAAATGCAAGAGCTCTAAAGTTGATGCAACTGCTTCCAAGCCTCATCTAAAATCGGTAGGTGACCTGGTGCTGCACCCAATGATGGCAAAACAAAAAGATTCTCAAGCTGGCAGAATGGTTTCTAGGAACATGGAGCTAATGTCCTAGCTACCGATTGGATTTGGAAGAGGAATATATTAACTATACTTACATTTTGAGCAGACCCTGAAAAGTCTGTTGTCTGCTAAGACGTGGGGCTAGGAAAACAGGAGGTGACAAATCTTCAGAGGAGAAAGTCAGTCCCCATACTTCCTCTGCTGCTTCTTCCATTTGGAATAATTTGTGGTCCTGAAATGTTCCTAGACTTCTTGAGCAAACTTAGTTTTGAATCTGACAGTGGCTAATATTTCACAGCAAACACATTGTTTAAAGTTTCTCTCGTGCCACAAAAACTTAGAAGTGATATATGGAAAGCACAAGAACAAGCACAGGTCCGAGTGAAGAGAGTATGTGTGGGACACTGTCCTCCCAACTGTGAGGCACTTATAAAACAGTGCTGTTGCCAAAAGTGCAGTTTAGTCACCACTGGTCTCCTCGTTCTGTCCGCTGGCTCTTCCCAGTGCTATGCTCTACCTGCAGGTGCCGGAGAGGAAGCTGAAAGAGTGCATGCCACAGGAGCCCAGCTGGCATGAACAGCTCATGGCAGAAATAAAAGGACCGCAGAAGCTTTGGCCATCGACAGCAAGGGAAAATGGGAGCAGGCCCAAAGGTATCTGTTGGCTCCACCTGCTACAAAGTGACTTGTCAGGCATGTGTGTGAAGTCATTGTTGACTAAAAATAATGGGCTGCCTTGGAAATGAAAGCCCACCTTTCTTCTTCCTTAGCGTGTATAATGCAAGGGAGGCAGGCATGCAAATTTTGTGTTGATGCAGGTGGTATGGTATAAGAATACCATATAAGGTATAAGAATTTTCTAGGAAATCTGCTTGTGGCTTATTAAGACTCAGATATTTCAACTTACCCTTTTTTCAGGAGTTCACATTTGTCTATTAGCTGCACTGGATGGCCCCAACCTTAATGAGAGAGACCATAAAAAAGCCAAATGGGTGTGCAGCATAACTGTCCACTAAGTAAGAGAATCCAATTCTCTTGGATTTGGGCCATCCCCTAAAACAAAGATGATTTAACTGCTAGGACAAAGCCTACCCAAAGCTTAAATTCTGATGTGTGGGGTTCTCATGTTCATCAGTTCCTTGTCACAACAAAATACCTTATCGTGTGTGTGTCTTCCCCCTCAGAAATGCCTGAGTCACCAAATGTTGCCTTGAAATCTCCAAGCAGCGGTATCTTAACTCTCCAAAATGTCAGTACAGAGTTCAAAACTGTCAACACTGTAACACAGCAGCTGGGACCAGGAGTTCAGGTAAGGCTTTAAATGAAGTGACTCTAGAGAGGCACAATTAATCTAGGCACTTGATCTGTGTACATATGCAGCCTGGACTATCAGGTTCAAATCTTAGTGTGGGCAGTCTTGTCCCTCAAAAAACAAACATGATACTATTGGGTTCACTAAAGTTCTTTTCTTTGCAGAAGCTCACACCATATGTAAACACACAGGATTTTTCTGAGGTGTAGCTGGAGCCTATAAAACCAAGGTCTGCTCTGATCTCTAAAACTAGATCCTGCAGCAATTTTCACGTGCATAGGATTTTGGCTGATATAGGCCAAAACTACTCCTGCTCTTACCTCACTGTATGATGCAGCAAGGCATTTGATGCTAGAGGTATTTGCATTTCATGTGGTATGCGAGTGTATGTGGAGTGGAACTTAATGGCTTATTTCTAGGGAGTACCTCTTACTAGTGTATTTCCACTTTTCTGCCTGTGGAACAACTAACAGCACCATTCTTCAATAAACTGGGATATGTACTGCTTGGGTTCTTCAACTCAATGGATTGATCATGAAAAGCCTGACTGCTTGGTGTCTGGGATGCAGTCTAAGCACAGTCAGAAATTCTGTGGAACAGAGCTTAAGCCCTAACAGATCATGTCTAGCACACATGCTCTGGCATACAAACAGGAATCTTTGTTTTCTGTAAACGTTTCTGTCTGAAATGCAGTTGCTTAACTGAGGAAAACGGATATGAATTTCTAAAAGCTGAAAATCTTAGCTATAGTTGCACAAGTCAGTGCTACTTGTAGGAACGTTCAGTATTTGAGAACCGTGTGGTGTGTAACTGCTAAACAGGAGGGACCTCTTTTGTGGAGACTAATGGGATTAAATCTGGATTTCTCCTTTTCTAGAGAAGCTAAAAACAAGGGTGTCTAGATACAGCACGGGGTTTGAGATGGGTTAGTGGGGCATGGTCTCTTGAACTGTTTTCTGGAGTTGCTCTGTGTGAGCTCAAGACAAGAAAATGTTTCCAGGGTGCTCTGAGAGGTTTAAAGGAAGAATCTAGTGTAGCTGGTTGCTGAACAGTTGAAACTTTGGGACTAATATCTTCATTAGACTTGAGTGAGAGTGATAACACATGAATTTGAAGTTTGATCAGCTCAGCTTCCTTGTTGGGGGGGAACTAACTTGCTATTATCTTTTGGAATATGAAGGAATATACATGTACTACATTGCCCTCTACTTTTGGCTAAATCTGGATTCTTCCTGGACAGTGGTGGGTATTGTGGTTCTTGTTTAGCAGTGGTGGTTCTGAGAAGTCTGCTTGGCACTGGTGTCTCTTGTATGCTGCTCAAGAACGTCTTGTCCTTTGGCCTATAGGAAACAACTCCCAAGCTGCCTTCCAGCACCCAGCTTGCCTCAACCAGGTCATCAGCAAAGACTTGCAACAGCACAGGTCAGTGTCCTTCTAGGTGCACATCCAAATCAGGTGCTGACAAAGCACAGTGGTCTGCTGGGTTCCCACAGCCTTAGGCTGGACTCACTGTTTACCTTGTCTCTCTAATCACTGAAAGACACTTGCCATGAGAAGCTCGAGCACCGAGTAATGAGTTTAGGGAAGTGCCCTTAGAAAGCCATTCCTCTGCAGCTGACTGAAGCCTATGTAGCTCCTGCAGCTTCAAAATGATGATAGTATGTCCCCAAAGGCCTAACTGGAATTCATAGCAAAAGCTAAATGAGTCTTTTGAATTTTGAAGCAGCACCACTTGATTTTTATTAAACTACACAGTGCTAATTAAGACTCATCACTGCCTACTGACAAGTATAATTACTGTGACTTCTGCTTTTTGTGATCAGGGCTCATGGGGGTGAGAGAGGCATAAGCCTTGCTACATTCAGAAGGCACTGTAGTGTTTTTGAGTGTTCTGTGTTTGGGGTGGAAATTTAGAAGCTGCTAGTTCATTTTCTGCACTCTAAAACTTTCCTTTCCTATCCAGGTCTCTCTGCAGATCGCACATGTGCTGTTATGAGTGGACCCATGCTAGGAGACATTAAACCTATCAGTTTCTGGAACTCTAGACAACAGCAGCTGCCTCCTTACAGAGGAAGGTCCAGATCTTTAGAGAGTGCCCTTCAAAGCAAGGAACTTGTAAGTCCTGCGCATGAGCTGCCAAGCCCGGTCTGCTACAGTTGGTAATGACCGCTTTGGCTAGGCCATACAGTACATTGATCTTAAGCTGAGATGTTATTGTCTCCTTGGAGACAGTTTAGACAAGATTGGATGCTGTAGTGACCTTGTGGAGATTTCTTTTATTCCAGTTTGAATGACATGAAATAAGTTTCCCCATATGAGGACAAAAATACAACTGCATTACTTTATAGTGTCTGTCGGGGCTTACTCAAGCAGACTGTAGTGCCTCTTGCCGCAGTGGGACTGTTCTGCTTTCCACATCTCCTCGTGTTCTGTCTAGACTCTGCATTCACAAGCATCCTTTAAACTGCAATAAAGCTAAGTCCTAATGGAAAAAACGATGGACACAATGCAAAGAGTACAGCATCAGCGACTTCTAAATGTATGCAATACAGAAGTCATTACTGTTGTAGGAGCAATGCTGGGTTTGTGCACCCCTGTGACATCTTCTGAATCATAGCCTCGCCCTGCTCTGCCCTGACAGGGTGTGCTGTGCCCTTGCCTCCTTCCTTCTGTATGCCTCCCTTTCCTCCCTGCAACCCCCTAGACTTAACATAACTCTGTGTGACCTCTTTATTCAATAGTGTGGTAGGGATGTAGGTGTGGGCTGGGCTCCCTACCTGAATAAAAGCATTATTTTCTTCTCTGCCATTCATATGGGAATAGCGGGTCCAGAGAAAGAGAAGGCAAGGCAGCACTGTGCCGTGGGAAGGGATCCTGTGCCTCGGTGAGCAGGGGCCAGTGTGCTACCTGTGCTATAGTCCATACCAAAGGGTAGGATTCCTCAGGGACAGGCTCTAGAGCTGGGATTAGCCTTGGAGGGGACCAAGGCACCTGTTTCCCTAATGAGACTTCAGGAAGCTGCTTGAATTCTTGTCTAACAGCTTGAATACCATAGCAGTATTCCTTTAAGAGTTTCTCTGGTAGTACTGTGAAAGAGTCAGCTGATATTGCCCATCACCTGCAGAACCAAGCTTTGGGAAGAAATGCTGTTGAGCTTCTTGGGACTCAGTTTTGAGGATGACCTGAAATGTCTGCTTCCTTCAGCTTTCTCTGATGCTTAACTTCTGTTGTTGCCTAGGCCTGTCCCTTTCCTACCAAACGGCCATCACCAACCATCGCTGAGCTGATTGGAACCAGATATGCAATGATGGTGCTGGAGAGGGAAGGCTCTCCCCAAAAAGGTGGTGATGGTGCCTTTCCAAGAGCCAAGGTATGTTTCCTCTCCTTGTCCTTGTGCTGTCCTTTTCTTTTCAAAAGCTGGCTGGTTTCACGTCCCTCAGTGCCCAACTGCTGACGATGTTCTCTAACTTATTTTATCCTGTTTGTACAGCTGATCTGATCTAGGCTGTTTAAAATCTTAACACTTGTGCTGTGATGGCTGCTCATCAAGCTTAAGCTGTGTAAGTTGCCTAAGAAGGCAACTGTTCTTCTCAGTCTTTGCTTGATGCTTCTTGTCTGTTGTTCCCAAGCTAGCACAGCAGTCTGCCATTCCTGTTGGCCGGGTCTGAAATCAAAGTAATTAATTGCGATTTGGTACTGCTGTACAGTGAGGCAAAGGCTCTTAGCTCAGACTCCCACAGCTGGCTGGTGCTGGCTCAAATGTCCTTGCTCAGTGATTAGATGCAACGGTCCAGGGGGGTGGGGGCAAAAAATGAGTTGCAGCACAGGACACTTAGCTGTCTACTCAGCTTAATTGCTTGCTCATTCACTAAGTCTGCCCTGGGTTGTTCTAACCAACCCCTCTAGAGCAAATGTTTTGAATGCAAGCCCTGTGCAGCACAGATGTGAGGACATCCATGCTGCTTGGCTTTGGGGGGTCAGCCTCTTGCCCTCATTTACTTAGCAGTATAGACAGAGTCAAAGGGTTCCTGCTAACACCACAGTGCTACACCTAAAATCTCTCTGGTGTTCCTGAGAGTGAATTCTTGCTTTCTGCTCACCATAGTTGCCAGCCCTGCTTTAACTTGCCTTTTCTCTGCCTCTTCTAAAATGGCTCTTTTGCCCCCTTTGTGTTCTCACTGCTGAAGTTTTTTTAGCTTTCTCAAGCTCCAGTTCTCAAGATAATATCACTTCTGACTGCCAGCTGTGTATTAATGTGTTCTTTTTTATAAAGTTCAAGCGACTCATCAGCTTCCTTATGACTCATTTTTTGCTTCAGGATTGGATTCAAGTTTGCCCTGACTTAATCGCTTTGGGATTGCTGCAGTCTACCTCAAAGAATGCCTCTCTTCTTCCCTCTCTCTTAACTAGCTACTGTTACACTCTTACACAATACAGCTATTGTTTGTTCAAGAGCCTTTTTTTTAAACTCCTGTTGTCTGGCAGCTGCCCTAAACCTCTGCATCATAAAAACACAGGCTTACAAATAAGACTCTTTCGCCTTTTTAGCTTTCAGTTCCTGTGTCTTTGCTATCCTTCACTGGATCTCTGTTATTGTACGTGGATCTCAAGCATTTAGAGGGTTGGTTTATACGGAAAGCTCTTTGGAAGGCAGTGGATACTGTTGGTACAAAGATATTTCCCATTGGCATTCACTAGTAACTCTCCTTTCCACAGATCTGTTTCAGCTGCCATAAGCAGATGTTCCTTAAGTGGCCTTACAGCTGTTATCTCTGCAGCAGGTGAGCTGGTACAAAAGGACTGAATGAGGAGGAAGAAAGAGTGAAAGAACTGTACTGAAAGTACATAGTGTTTGGATAGGAACAGGCTGCTTTCCTTACTATCCAAGCCAGGCGGAAGTGTCTACAGCTACAGATGACATGGAAAAACTTGCCTCTAAAGTGAAACCTTAGTTTTAGCTCTTAGGATTAAGCTAGCAGTAACAAAATTTACTGGGCAAGTACTATACCCAGTACCCATTCTCTTCTGCAGAAAGGCATTTTGCTCTAACAGTTGGATTTAACTTCAGTCAAGGGCTGGAGGATGTTCTAGGAGAGGCTCTTCACCAGAGTCTTCTGTTCAGGACTGGAAAAATGAACTGCAGACTCTGGGAAAGGAGTTGGATGTATTTGTATCCACTTGTGAGAGGGTTTCTGTTCACGGGGGAGGAAAAGAGGAACTGGAGGCTATTTCAGGCTCACTTAAATCTATAGCAGCACTAAGGCAACAAACTGATTAGAAACAAGTAAACAATCACTGGAGATCACTAACTGTGTGGTGTTAGTGCTGGTGAAGAGTAATGGGCACATACAGATAAAGCCTTCAGCCTATGGATGCTGAAACACTTCAGATGATTTAAATTAGCATAAACAGGAGTGCTAGTAAAATGAACAGGGAAGTTCTGCACTTGCTTACTTTGCCATTAAGTGATTGTGCCATCATCACAAATCAAGATTTTTTGGGGAAAGTCTTTATTTGCTTAGCCGCAGCATTTGTATCTGCTGAGCTTTACTTGGATGATAACGCTGGTAATTTCTTTCTCCTAGTGTCGTCTGCAGTGACTGTTGCATCAAGGCAAGTCTAGTTTTTATAACAGCATATGGAATTTTTGTTTTCTTTTTCCCTTGCACCTCCCTTAATCATAGGAAACTGTCCTTCATCCCACTGATACCTCATATCTACCCTCTAGCTTGTTTCTGAGAAAATGAGTTGCAAAAGCAGCCAGGATGCACAGACCCTAAAAGAAAAGGGACCAAACCATAGACATCTCTTGTCATACTCAGCAACAACAACTCTGGTTCCTCCTTTTATCCTGTATTAAGTGGTTGGGATTACTCTGTGCTCTATTTATACAAGGGTCAGAAAGTGTACTGCAATAATGTCCATCTTCTAAGTGCACTAATAAATAATTGTATGCCATGCAAATTTTCCTGTTAAGAAGGAGGTTTTGTTTCCCCAAGAAAACTCAAGGTGACCTGTGTTACGATTCTAGATGTCCATGCCCTTCAGAATGTGTGTACATCTTCCACTTAGCTTCCTAAAACTTCTGAGACTCTCCAAAGAGGAGGATCCAGCTACCCAAGAACAGAAGGGCTCAGAGTTGCTGCATGAAGTAGAGCAGTGGGCGTGTTCTAGGTAAGCTGGGACAGAGATGCTCTGCTTTTCCTTTGGAAGGTGTTATCAATTACTTGCATATACAAGTCAACAAACATACTGACAGCCATAGTATCTGGTCCCGTGCTGGTCAACTGAATGTTATGCTGAATGATTGATCTAGCCAGTAGTCTAACTGATCCACAGTTCTCAGAAACTGTGGGTTTTAGATGACCAACAAGGAGTTGGGTAGATGATCTGAAGTCCATTTTGCCTCATAGCTATTAAGTTCCCAGCACTGGTTTAGAGTTCCCCATATTATCCTGGACTTGCAAGGTTCCTGGTGACAGCTTCATTTGTGTGAGAATTTCCAGAGTGCATTTCTATTCTGTCTGCCGCAGCTGGGCATCTTTCACTACAGCCCAAGGGTGGCCTCTTCATTCCTAGAACTAAAAACGTGCTAGTCGTCTCAGATATAACTGGCCAAACAGTAATCCACAAATGGTTTCTCAGTCCTCCTACATACACAACAGATGCACGCTTTCCTTTTTGTCCCCAGAAGAGGAACTATTTCAAAATGAGCTGTTGACTGCTCTGAGTGGAAGAGACAGTCCTTCTGAATATAAGTACCATATATAGGACTGGAAAACTGTCTCAGATCTGTTTTTCTGAATCAAAGTTGCATGTTGCACTAAAAGAACAGGTATCTCCTTCTCTCTGAAACTATTCTTTTATGTAAACAAAATAGTCATGGCAACTTCTGGTTTGAAGGCTCTGACTCTAGTTGCCAAAAATCAGGGGCAGTGTTCACTACTGATATTAACACTGTGTGGACAGTGGTTTAGTCTGACTCATAATGCAGACACTGTGGAAGAGGTCTGATTGCATTGTTGCTATGCTTTAGCATGGCAGAAAGCCTAAAACACACACACATGGTTATAGGGACTCTGCCCACAACCTTGGAACAGCCACAGATATCTATTAGACCTTTAGCTGAAGTAGTATTGGTCAATAGAGAGAAGGTGTTAGTAAATGAAGCTGTTCTGGCACTTAGTAGTAGCGGAAGCAAGTGCTATGTTAAACTCATGCATTTAACTAAATCGCTTGGCAGTGTTGAGCCAGACTTGGAGAAAAGGTAGAAGAGCACTGTACCTTCTAACTGAACCCTGGGTCAGCTTTCCTGCTTTCCCTCCCCCCTCCTGTTTCAGTGTACCCGTCATGTTGGAACCCCATTGTCTAGCACGGCCTCTGTGCTGTTACACAAGGACTGTGGCAGACTGGCTGTCCGTGGACATCTGTACTCAATGCGAACAGTATCTGTTGAACATGGCTTCCAGTCAACAGCAGAACATCTCTCTTGGGAGAATTTCCAGGTCTTGGACCAAACTGGAATGAATGACTCTACTGTATATGTCTCCTGTCATTTGTGTTCTGTATCTGAAGTAAATGGAACAGCTTTATGCACATACTGACATAAAGGCCTGAATAAAAGACCTCCCTGCTGGTTTTTCTAAGCAGGAAGCACCATTAATATTTGTACTGTAACATATTATAAAACATTGTGGCTTTTAGAACTGTTTTAATTCTTTTTATGTGTTTTGGGGGAAAATAAATGTTGAAGCACTATCATGCCTCTAGCATTTCCTCCTTTACACCTGCAGTTGTCATGGGTTTGTGGGTCTGTTTGCATTCATTGCTAAGCAGACTTTGCCCTGTGTCATGAGTATAGGGAATCTTTTAACCAAAAAGCTCTGTTGAAAGTGGAGTTCTCAGTTGTGTAATCACAGCGCTGCATTCCT